GGACGGATATATTGTGCTATATGAGATTAATGGAGATAAAGTTGATTATTATGTTAAAACCTCGTTGAAACATGAAATTGACTTTATTTTTCCTCCAAATTCATTTGATCCTCATGAGCATTCAACCATCAAGGAATATTTCAAAGTATATGCTACATTTGTAGTAATTTTTCTTGATGTGAATTCTATCTCTTTACCATGGATAATTGTGTATTACTTGGCACATCTCATTTCTTTCACTAACAGGAGAAGGACAAAAGGTCCACTGGCACAACCTTTTGATTCTTATGATTAATATTTTGTGTTGAGCGGTCAAGCTTATGACCTAAAACAAGCGCTTTGTGGGAGGCAACCCATAATGTATCCCAAGTAAGTTTTCTCTTTTTCTTTTTCACATTTTCATTTTTTTTTCTTTTGAGTGTGTATGGCATCATTTCTTCGAATTGTTTTCACACCGAGTCGGTGTGAAGCAAGTCGGGGGGAGGTTGTCATTTGTCTACTAATCGAGTTTGCTTTGGTTGTTTCTTTTGTTTGCTTTCGTTTGAGTCAGTCAGTTCGTTTTTATCGAGTCAAAAAAAAAAAAAAAAAAAATTGTGTCTTTTATTGAGTCAAAATTTGTTTGAGAACTATGATCTTTTCTTGGGGAATTGCACTTTGCTTGATTTCAATGCCTGGGGACCATTTTAGCTTTATTCGATAACTTGGAAGTTCAGGAAAATCTATCACTAGATCGCTTTATAGTAGTCCCTATCTCTTTGAAATTCGGATGAATTGAGCTTTATCTTATATACTTGAACTTAATCTGGACTTAATTTATCTCACTTAGGGGCTTGAGAATCATGTAATGGATCATACATTCAGAGTTTTGTTTGCATCATTTTTTTTACCACTCTTTGCTAACTCTGAATGGCTAGACTCATTTTTAGTCTAGTACCACACCTGTTCCCCCACCCATTGTTTGAAACCTCATGCATTCTTATATAATCATCATGATATGCATCCATGTGCGAAAACTACGGAGTATACGGACCGACATAGCTTTCCTTTTGTTAGGATAGTGAGTTGTAGTTTACTGGATGTTGATATATGATGAGATTGAGCCACTATGGTTTAGAGGTTGTATTCATGGGATATGTTGTTGTCGTTTGTGGTTTCTTTTGGTGCAGATTTTGTGAGACACCGGTTCCACTCCCCCGTAAAAAAAAAAAAAAAAAAAAAAAAAAAAATACAAATAATAAACGGGAAAGGAGAGTGAATGGAACCGGAAATGTCGAGTTATTATTACTTATATTGATAAGCATCAAGGGTACTCATTGATTTGATTGGGATAGTGTGTTGGTTAGTTTGATCCGAGCTTAAGGGAAGCTATGTATCTCCTAATTGGTTTGTGTCTCACTGTGATTTCGCATAATGACATGCATCCGTTTTACACTGTTTGAGAACCCGAAACACTTGAGTCACTAAATAATAGCCCTTTCACCTAGCCCATAACGTGTTTGATATCCCCTTAGTGAGAGTACACGCCTCTGTTAATGAATGTAAAATGGTTAAGTTATCTGACTCTGAAAGTTCTTTTAGATCTCGGGACTTAATTTTGTTGCTACGGTTATGGCGAAGTACAGTCTAGTACGGTTTGATGAGTTTTGTGATAGTGGTTTGCAGCCAATTGATAAGAGCATGATCCCGAAGAAAATGTGAGTTCTCGTGTTTTCAAACCTCTTCTCTTGATAAAGATTTCTGCTTTCCTTGAGGACAAGAAAAGATCTAAGTCGGGGGGAGTCCTATTGGAAGCGGTTTTTCTTTTGGAAGTCCATCTTTTGGTGGTAATTATTCATCGGGTCAAAGTTCTGGTAGCCAGTGGGGTCCTGGTTTTCAACAATGGGGAACTCCTCCGACTGCTCCGCAATGGAATTCACCTTCTAATGCCCCACAATGGGGAATGCCTCCAACTGCACCACAATGGAGTACACCTCCTAATATGCCACGATGGAGTTCACCTCCAACTGCTCCGCAATGGAATTCACCTTCGAATGCCCCACAATGGGGAACGCATCCAACTGCTCCACAATGGAATTCACCTTCAAATGCCCCACAATGGGGAACACAACAAAATGTGCCCCAATGGAGTTCACCACCAAATGTTCCACAGTGGCGTTCATCACCAAATGTCCCACAATGGGGTTCATCACAAAATGCTGCACAATATATCCCTCCAACAAATGTTCAACGTGGATTTTCATTGGGAACGGAAGAGGAAACTACAACAAATATTCACCAAAGAGTTTCACATGAAAAAGAAGTTCCTTCAGCCGAAAACGTGGTTAGGGGAGTATCACCAGAATTTGGATTCACGAATTATTCTTCTACAACAAGGACATCACGACCACGAAGACGAGGAGGATTATTCAACATTTGGGGATCTGAGGGAGGACCAAATTTAAATGAAACGCATCAAAGTGATTCAGCATCTGAGAACTAGTTCAATAGCGCTTGCGCTTTTTAGTTGCCTTTATGTTTTATTTTGCATTATATTTTTGTAATGTCAGAATGTACTAGTACTGTTGATTTACGTTATTTCTCATTAGTTAATTTTTGTGTACTGTTTAAAAATTTCAGGCTTTTCGTATATGCCAATTGCGATCACAAGGTGTACACAATCTAAATTATGAAGAGAGAATTGAGTTATGGAATTTGGAAAATGAGCAATTTGAAGAGTTAATAATTCAACCGTCATTGAGTTACTACAATCGACACTTTGAAAGAGGACCAATTCAAACAGATGGCGGGTTGGGATGGAGAAATATTTGGCGTCGAGTACAAGAAGATAGTGCTGCTTGTCTTCAGTTACTACGAATGTCTCTTGATTGTTTTAGATCATTATGTGACAAAATGGAACCAAGTTATGGATTACAACCTACATTGAATGTTAGCATTGAAGAGAGTGTCGCCATGTTTTTACGGATATGTGGACACAATGAAGTTCAAAGAGATGTTGGGTTACGATTTGGACGAACGCAAGAAACAGTGAATCGGAAATTTTTTGAAGTCCTTAGAGCAACAGAGTTACTTGCTTGTGATTATATCAAGACTCCAACAAGATAAGAACTACGTCGAATTCCTGAAAAACTGCAAATGGATCGAAGATATTGGCCATATTTCAGTGGATTTGTTGGAGCTATAGATGGAGTTCATGTATGTGTTAAGGTGAAGCCTGAACTACAAGGAATGTATTGGAATCGACACGATAGAACATCGTTTAATATCATGGCAATATGTGATATAAATATGTTGTTTACATATGTTTGGAACAGAGCATCTGGATCATGTCACGATACAGCAGTTCTAACGATGGCACAAGATAATGATTCTGAATTTCCTTTGCCTCCGAGAGACAAGTATTATGTAGTTGATTCTGGGTATCCAAATAAACAAGGCTTTTTGGCACCTTATAGATCTTCGCGGAACGGGGTTGTTAGGTATCACATGTCACAGTTCTACAATGGTCCTCCTCCAAGAAATAAACAAGAGTTGTTTAATCGATGTCATGCATCTCTACGTTCTGTTATTGAAAGAACATTTGGAGTTTGGAAGAAAAAATGGAGGATTCTAAGTGATTTTCCCAGATATGATATTGACGTTCAAAAAAGAGTGGTAATGGCTACAATGGGACTACATAGTTTTATCAGAATTTCGAATTATTTTGACGAAGATTTTGTTGAAGTGATGGGAGATACAAATATCAACAACGTAAATTCTGAGAATGATCTAGATGACATGGAGAGTGGTGGTATACCTGATGGAAATCATATGGCAAATATAAGAGAAAATATTGCAGATATGTTATGGGAAAATCAAAATACTTTTCATTAAATTTAATTTGTTTTTGCTTATGTGTTGTCTTTTTTTTTCACTCTTATGTGTTGTATTTGGATATTTTATGATTAACATTTTAAGATTACTTAATAGATTAATATATTTTAGTTTTATATGATTTTATTTATACATACCATAATATATTATAAAATTGTATAGAATAAAATAAAAAATAAACTAAAAATAAAACTGTATTTTATATATGTATTTTTTTAATAAATTTATAACAATATGTAGTTCTTAATAAATTTTTAGTTATATTGTGTACTATTTATTATTTAATAATTTGATCTGCACATGTTGAACAGTTTTCACCATTCGAACTCATATTTGAACTGCTTGATCTGCATGATCTGCACTTGTCTTACATGTTCTGCACTTGTCCTGCATCTTCTGTAAGATCTGCATGATCTGCAACGCTTGAACTGCTTTTACCATTCGAAGCCTAAATGTTTTTTTTTTCCACATCGACGCGTTCTGCTGATGGACAGTGAGTGTCCTTCTTTGATGAATGCTGATTATAACCAAATTAAACGATACAAAACCGTTATCTAGGAAGAAAAGAAAAGCAAAACTGAAGACAAATATAGTAGTATCAATATGTATATAATTAAAACAGGTAGGTATTTCATGAAGTCTACACGATTTTTTTTAATAATCAAAATAAAAAGTTTATACAATTTCAGTTTTGTATTATCCAGTGGTGCAAAGTAAATTTGTTACATGAATACTTTGCGTATACCATATTTTTATAATAAAAAATAAAGCTATAGATAATATATACGAACCACTAGAACAATCAATAGCCGAGTTCCATTATTAGAATGTTATGATATACTCTATCAAAAGAAAAAAAAGAAAAAAACATATACATATCCCATTTATTTATACATAGCTTTCGTGTACGGCATATAAAAAAAAGTTACAAACTTTGTGCCACATCTATATTATTCAAGGGAAAAAATACTTCAAATATAAAAATGTAAATTGATTTGGTCATATATAACCCTTTTAAAAAATATATATAACAAACATGATATACACAAAGATTAATCTCCGTAACTCAATGGCCGGGATCCATTTATCTAAACCCTATTCACAAATATTTACACATTTTCGTGCAACGCAAGAAACCCCTGATTTTAATACGGTAGGCAAGAATTCTTACAAGCCTTCCCTCGGGTTTCTGGCAGTTGTGTGTCTCCGGACTTCCTTAAAAGCTGCCTTGACCTTGAAAGCTGCCTTAATCTTACACCACCTTGCTCTCGGAGATCCCAAATTAACGTTTGTAAGATGAACATCGAACATACCAGTTTCTTCCGTTCCAGACACGGTAAGACACATCGTTTCAACGGCTTGGTGCGTACCAGGTGACCAGTTTGTGGTCATGTCATAATGTTGATGATAAGCTAAAGCGTTCTCATCCTCCTCATTCTCGATACAACCTCTTGTCACTACAGTTTGTGATATTCCGGATACTGGATCGAAATCACTTACTTTGAAGCTGTTTCCGAAAGTCGGTAAGAACTTTTTGTTGATATGAAAAGTCGCGGTTGGTGAGTTATCGAAACTCATCAACACATCAGGGTGAACCCTTGAGCTTGCAGCTGCGTGGCCAAGAGCCATCGAAGAGCTTGATGGATCCAAATTTCCTAAATATTCGAAAAAAAGAACATCAAAAAATTATTAATTAGTCTTTAGTAAGATACAATATATCAAAAGACTTAACACCATGACCATTATAATTGTATACCTTGAAAGTCAATGTTCTGCGATCCCGGACATGTTATGCCAAATCCAGGATCTTGCGGGCACTGTAAAGACCTTTGCGGATGACCCATAAAGGTCCCATCGTTAACCGCTGTAAAGCGGTTAAGGTTTTGATAAGCTTCAAACTTTAATTGGTTTAGAATTGGCTGATCGAGGTTTTGGATATCGACGCCATTGAATGATACTTTTAATAACTCATAAACAGAGTTGAAGAGAAGAGTTACGCCCTGAGTGTTTGCATTGTAAATGTAACACTCTGTTTCGTCCAAAACGCAATCCATGGCGTGTGATACAATTGTCTTCCATGTTTTCTTTGAGATCCCTACACCAATTATCTGTTAAATAAAAAAAAAACATTTTGTGAATGGTTAGAAGATTATAGACATCAAGATTCATTTCACCTAATTTAGGTATATATATAATCTTACGTTGTGTAGCTCATTTGGATTTACAGTATACAAACGGCGAAACTCCTTGACGGTATAAATCTCGTGTTCAGCCAAACGTTTCGCCGAAACGCCATCTTTCGCGATTTTCTCTAGTCTCCAAACGTCATCATTGGGGTACGGAGGATGATGTTTTCTATAAGCTGCATAAGCAACAAAAATAAACAAACGGATTAATAATTCACCCTAAACGTTTTAACCGCGATTGCAACAGCTGACCAGACATAGTAACCGCTACTTACATTCTCCTCGTTGGTCTAAACATCCAAAGGCTTCACTTCTCGCCTCCACGGCTCCATCTCCGGTCAACTTAGCACCTAACCGGAACTTCCGACTTCTAGTCCAGCTCGAATTATCCGAGAAAGCGATATCTCCGGCGATAACTCCAACACCGTTTTTAAGCGTCAACGTTAGATCTCCAGTGAGCAACGGACGTTTCCCTTCACGTTGCTTGAGAATATTCCGCTTAAATCCCTCCACGTTCCAGCTTTCTTCCGTGAAATCAGCGTTCAGTGGCACGAGCACTACCCGAGAAGACGAGAACGGTCCCGAACTAACTCGAGTGTTTGTGGTGGCGTCCACGAGCTCGATCATCAGCGGAGAACCGCCCTCGGCTTCGATCTTGGACCCCGTGAATATCGATGACGGCGGCGAGTTTATGAATCGCAGCTTCAATCGTGGACGCGATGATGGCGTTTCTGAATGCGATCGCTCCATTGAGACACGTGATGAAGAGTAAAAAGTTTGAAAAACACGATGTGTCTCCTCTCCGACCTAAACCAAAAGAGTTGAGAAAATCATTAACTAATTTGCATATAATAACGAATATAATTAAGCATATGACGTTCAAGTGCATACAAAAAATATATTGTAAGGTTAATAACATAAACCGGTAAAAGATATAGAGTAGTACTAGTAACATAGCCAAATAAGACTTTCATAATTTTTCATGATTGGTAGCCGTTAAAACGGTATAATTCTTTAGCGATACACAAAAAAAACATTACCAATCAAACCCATAAAAACATGTGATTTCATGGTTTCGTTATATGTTTTTTTTTTTGTCAAGCAAGTTTCGTTATATGTTTATAATTTGATATATACTATAACTACTAGATTTGTGACTATTTTGTTATACTAGATAGAGTTACTAGACTTCGGGACCATTGTTGATCGAGGAGCCCACAAATTTAAAACAAGACAGAAGAGAAGCAGTCGGTCAAAATTGGTGGCTATATATTAGGAACATGTTAATTTAAATAATCCGTGATTAGTTAAGATATTTAATTAGGTGGTTTAAGCAGAAAGTTGTTAATTAAAAACGATTGGAAAAAAAAACTCACAATTCTTCTTATCATGTTCTCCATCCGAATCATGAATTGATTATAGGACTGATCTCTCATCACTTGCTTCACAACTCTGTGGTTCACATAAGAAAAGAAACTCATAAATCAAAAACCTTGTCCTAATATCAACCGGAAAAATAAAGATTTGTTTGGTATAAGATCAAGAACTCACTTCTTGAATGTTAAGTTACGAGCTCTTAAGCCACTGTAACCACCACCCCCATGAAAAGTAGGGCTGTTTCGAATCTTCATTGATCACTTTTAGTTTTAGAGAATTTTTTTAAGATTTAAAACCTTGAAAGATTTTTTGTCTTAAAAGTACAAACTCTTTGTGTGAGAGAGAGGTAGAGAGAGAGAGAAAGAGATGATGAGAATGTGAGAGAGTGAATGAGGATTGGGGAAATATAAAGGCAATGAGTATTGACGAAGTAGCACTTGAAATTTCGAGGAAGATTCGTTGCTCGGAGTTTAGAAGTGCTATTCATCAACCACGCAGCCACGCTAGAGTTAGTTATTTAGTTAATAAATTATAATTAAAAATAAAGACACTAGTGTTTCTGACAAAAAATAAAAATAATAAGACACTTGTGTTGTGTCATATATTGATTCGTTATTTAATTGCTGTTTGGATCATTTCGTACAAACTAAAACAGCTTGTAATAATATAGAAGAATATATACTCTCGATCCGGCTAAACCTCAACATGTATTTTAATCAGCTTCCTCTCATATTGGAAAAGTCGGATATATAATGGAGAGATTATATAATTTCGGTGTATTCATCTTTTGTTTTTGTAACTTAAAGAGTTGTATTAAAACTGCTTCTGATCATTGGTAACATGTTGTGATATTGGATATACCATTAGCACTATTCTCAGTTTTTCTATATATCCAAGACGCTATTTTTGCGTATTATTTTTGATTTCATAAGATTAATCTGTATTTTTCGAAGATGGGGATAAAATTGCAAAAAAATGATTTGAAAGTTTTTTTTTGCAGAAAATTCTTACTTTTTATCGCTTTTAGTTATTTTGATATATCATTTTTTTTTGCTGAAAAACACGTACCGTTTTATATCATCAATGGAATCTATTATTGGAGAGATCATATGCGAGTAGGACATGCAAAGTCTAGTCATTTCTATTAACCGCATGTGTTGCCACTTTAATTTAAATCCGATGGAATACATATTTGTGGGAACAAAATGAATGAAAGATCACCCATTTGTCAAACAAGAATTAACGAGGTTTGCAAGAATCAGCAAACCTTTTTTCCTTCATAAGAATAGATTAAAATATAAACTTGCGAAAGAAATGTCTTCAACTATAAACTATAACAAAAAAATTTTGGAGATTTTCTTAAATGATTAATTTCGATCTTTGATTTTGTAAACGCTCATTTGTTCAGTTTCTGTGGTCAGATATGAGCCTGCATTTTTGCATCACGTCGAAATGTTACAATCTACGCGTTTTAGAATTATTACTGAAAACGCTTTTGTCCGTTTCTCAATCATCGACAGATCTAATTAATAAATACTTAACTCTTATGGTGCTACCTTGCATGATCAAAACCCTACTGATCATGCACTAATTTAATTCCAATTAATATATAAAGTTTATGGTCTCTCCGTATCATTGTAGATTCTTTCATAAAAAGTATGGTTTTAGCTTATTTTTTTGCGCAAAGAAATTACTCACAGTTTTATATTTATGTAATACAAATATAGCATTAAAAAAATTGTGGTGTAAAAGCAAGAATATCTTACTCAAACTATATAACTAGATCGAAACACTTGAAAGTTGAAACAATGAAAATTCTAAGTGATTAAAACAATATCTACACTTTTATGTTTTGGTAATGAAGATTTAGTGATTGGTTTCAAAACAATATCTTAACTTCTTTTTTTCTTGCAAAACATTCGAGGGTTTAAATATTTTAAAGTGTTTTCAAATGAAAATATTTATTTTTAAATTACTATGTATTTTTATACACAATAAGAGAATTAAAAATTGATTGGATAGTTCACCAAATTTTCGTTCATAACATCTACAATATAGGAAAAAAAATGTAAAGATAAAAACTTCCAAATCTAGGTAAGTAAAACTAGATTCGGATTTTTACCTATATAACATTATATTGGTCTAAGTGAATGAATAATGAACATTTCAAATACAGAATTATTTGAAATTCCATAAACCAGACAAAACAGCCGTTGACATAAGCGTTGACATGACTAGATCGTCAACTAGAAGTACATTGACCCCAAATATAGCCACGCTTAGGTGATGCCGTAACGCGTTTTTCAAGTAATTTATATGATCAAAATATTAAGATTCAACATAAGTTAGTATTAATGGTTTCAAAATTGGAAGGACATATTCAGAAAACTAAAGTAACATGTTTTTCTACATCGACGCGGTCTGCTGATTGACAATATTCTTCTTTGATGAAAACCAAACAAAACAACACAAACGATTATCTAAGAAAGAAAAAAAAAAATTGAAAGGACAAATATAGTAAAATTTGTATACAATTTTAAAACAGGTAGATATATTATGGGGAAGAAGTCTACACGTCAAAAAAAAAAAAAAAAAAAAAAAAAAAAAAAAAAAAAAAAAAAGAAGTCTACACGTCGATTTTTTGGCCAATAAACAATGTAGTTTTGAAGGTTCAAAGTTTTTAATAACCAAAATAAAAAAAGTTTATACAATTTCAGTTATTTTTTAATTATCAATTAAGAGGAAAGAATATGTTGGGTAAGTGTGTTAACCTGTCAATTAGAACAAAAATTAAAGGTTCAAAATCTAGTGTTTGGTTTTGTAAAGTTATATCTTTTATAATATTTTTTTTTGTGTTTAAAAAGAACTAATTATACTTTAATATGATTTTTTTTCAGAAAACCGTTGACAACTATCTTTTGTAAATGTATCGAATCATGTACTTTTGAGGTTGGATTGTCGTTAGCTTATTTTGTTCGTGTCGTTAGCCTATTTTGTTAGCAAATAAAAATTTGGGAGATTTACTCAGATGTTATACATTTTATATGAAATTACCAGAAACATACAGATCTTTTTTTTATTACTATCATATTTCGGGTATATTTTTTATACCCAGCGTGCCCCTGTTAAACGTTACAGGAAAAAACGTAATTACAAAGAATGCCACTGCCACGTCAGCAAAGCCGCGTCGCCACGTCAGAAATCGCTGACGTGTATTAATGAACTCAGCCGTCGAGCGATATAGCGGCAGTGACGGCTGAGTTACGGTATGTTGCGGCTGATTTAAGAAAAATGGCTGAGTTATGAGCAAACGGCTGACTTACGAGTATAACCCAGCCTGGAGTTACGGCTGACTTACTGAAATCTGTCTGAGTTATGATAAAATGGCTGACTTTCGAGCATAACCCAGCCTAAGTTACGGCTGAGTTTTCACCCGATGGTTGATTTGTCAAATTTTTGGCTGAGTTATTGCTTCGACACGGCTGACTTAACTTTCTCCGGCTGGCTGAGTTATCAAAGACGGCTTAGTTATGGGATGACGTTACGGCTGATTTATGTTCGAGTATCATAAATCAGCCGTAATGAGCTGGATTAACGGAAAACTCGGGCTTATTATGGCTGACTTAGTAGCGAAAGATTAATTACTAGAATAGCATGCAATGACGGCCGACTTATTAAACGACACGACTGAGTTAAATATTTTTGGTTGAGTTACGACAGTATACGGCTGAATTTGGCTGCCGTTTTTTCGTTTTTTAATTACTGTAATAGTATTCATGTTGCGGCTGAGTTAAAGTTTTGTTTGATGGCTGGTTTAATTAAGTTGATTTACATTTTCGTTTGGTGGCTTACTTGCCACTTCATCAATTAAAAAATGACGTGGATGCAACATTCCATGTCATCATTCCATGTCATCATCATCAAAGGACAAAAAAATAGGGCCAAATTTTTTCAACTCGTCTTCTTCACCTGAGTTTATCACATCACCGGAACTTCCAATTCCTCATCGTCTTCCTCATTCTTCTTCAATTTCTTTCATCCTTCTCCCGATATGGTTGATCCGGTTCCGGTAATTGGGTATAAAAACACAAATACGTATTTAACACCGATGAAAGAGGGTGTAGAGTTGTGCAGATAGATGCGAAAACAACGCACGAAAAACTTGTGAAGTTGGTGCTCGATGATAAAGTTAGAGGAAATGTTGCGTCTCTTATTGTTTCGCTGCAAATTTACATGTCACGGCTGAGTTATATGCTTAAAGGAAGACGAAAGGTTCGGTCAATTTACATGTCACGGCTGAGTTATATGTTCCAGGGAAGACGAAAGGTTTGGTAAAATTACATTACGGCTGAGTTATATGCTTAAGGAAAGACGAAAAGTTCGGTCAATTTACATGTCACAGCTGAGTTATATGTTCCAGGGAAGACGAAAGGTTCGGTAAAATTACATTACGACTGAGTTATATGTTTAAGGGAAGACGAAAGGTTCGGTAAATTTACATGTCACGGCTGAGTTATATTCTCCAGGGAAGACGATAGATGGGTGTAAATTATATGTTACGGGTGAGTTATATGCTTCAGGGAAGACGAAAGGTTCGGTAAATTACATGTCACGGCTGAGTTATCATTCAGGGAAGACGAAAGGTTGTGTAAATTATATGTTACGGCTGAGTTACATCACGTTACGGCTGAGTTACATCACTTTACGGCTGATTTATAATACAGATCGGAAAGCAACATTTTTTTGGAGAAGACAATATGAAATTTATTGGTCAAATAACAACAATCAAATTAAGATTCGTAAAAATATGTTTGAGGGATACATAGGAGGAAGACTAAACCGTATGAATCAAAACATAGATAGAAGTAGAAATGTCTCCAAATAGATCGATTGAGAGGAAGATTAAACGAGAGACATGTAAAATCAAAGTAAAAGAGTAGCTATTCTTGATTTCAACTCAAACCTGTAACGAATCATGTAGAATTCCATAGATCTCTTTGTTTTGGGTTTTGATTTTTGATGACTTTTTCGTGAGCGTGGTTGCGAGTAGATCTGACGAAGCTTTTGATTTGGGACCCTATGGCAAGCGTTGTGGCTGTGAGGTCTAGGAAGATCCAGCCCAATCCTGCAATTTGAAGATCTCTGTCAATGTTGTACCCAAGTTAGTTGCAGATTATTAGATCTAAAAGTTTTTCTTGGATTTGGAGACAAATAAAAGAGAAGAGGAGAAATGATCTAAAAGCTTTTCTTGGATTTGGAGACAAAAAAGAGAAGAGGAGAAATAACGTGAGTTTGAGGAGTGTGAGATTGGTGATGTGGATTAATGACATGGATAATCAAATTTTTATTTATTATTTTTAATTAAAAACGAATTAAAAATTATTAATTAAAAAAAACTAATGAAGGGTGTTAATTGTAATTACACAAATGCTCAAAACATATGAGTAATTTTTAGAAAATGTATGATATTCTAGTAATATTCGAACTTTTGGTTAACATCTGAGTAAATATTTCTAAAAATTTCTCCTTTTTTGGTCTTTTCATGTTTATAAACACGAGATTATAGGTTTACAAAAAAAACACGAGATTATAGTAGTGGCATGTCACCTAATTAATACATATGAATCAGATTCATTCAAAATAATCTTTGTGATAAGTCTAACAAAATTAATCAGATAGTAGTGCAGACATGATCAGTCTCTGGTGCCCCTGATCTACGATCACATAGGAGATATTTTTTTCTAGATGGCAATTGAAAATTGGCGTTAAAAGAAATAATTTGATGGTTTTATGTTAAGAGAAACTTTCCTTCTAAATTCGAGGAAAACCGTAAGGAAACTAAGAGAGGCCAAATAGTCAAACTAATTGTTGATTGATATCTAAGTTTGATCGAGCCATTTCAATAACCAATCACTATACGCAACTCCTTTAATACTTTTATTAATATTTTTTTGTAAGAAAAAGAACTTAAAAATGCTAACTCTACCTCTACCACATGTTATTTTTGATGATTTTAAGTTAAGTTTTGAGTTTACAAAAGACATTATACAAAGTGTAATTCTACTTCAACTTCGAAAATTCAAAATTAATTTATGATAGGTAAAATTTTACAATTATCTATGAATAAGATCTATAACTCAATTTAACTCATGTTAGTTACCAATCAAAGTCTAACTGAGTCTTTTTTTTTTTCACTGAAAGATTGATGTATATATATTCATATTTCCAACCAAACATAGAAAGAAATAGGATCAAGGACAATCATTCTAGATCAACCAATATGAGTATTACACTAGGCAATACTACTTTCTTTCAAAAGCTTTTTTAACCAAAAGGGAAACCCGATTGCTACATACGATTGGCGGTGATCCTCTATAGTTACACTCTTGGCGATTAGATGAATTCCAAGATTAGTGTTCCTTATCTCACCATAGAGATTCCAATCCAACAAATTCCCTAATTCCTCAATCAAAAGGAGAAACTGAAACTTGTAGGAGGGCCAAGTATAAGACCTTGAGACAGCTCCAATAAGATCAAGTCTAAGTGAGTCTTAATGGGGTTTTTTTTTCTTCTGACGTTCACCCTTGCTGTTAATTGTAATTAAATTTCATAACATAAAAAAGTACAAACACAAAACAAGCTATATATATAAATCACATAAAACGTCTCGTATATATAGCTATATATACGAGACGTTTTAATGTTGGAGTTCATTATTTTAACATAGACACTGACCCCTACA